CTGTGAAGCATGGTGGAGGGTCAATCATTTTTGGGGCTGTTTTGCTTCTGCAGGTACAGGGAAGCTTCAGCGTGTGCAAGGTACCATGAATTCTCTTCAGTACCAGGAGATATTACAGTATTATGCATCCGTCACACACCTGAGGCTTAACGTTGGACCTTTTCAACAGGACAATGATCCCAAGCATTACCTCCAAGTCCACTAGAGCATGGTTGCAGAGGAAAGGCTGGAACATTGGAGTGGCCATCGCAGTCACCAGACTTAAATCCGATTGAGAACCTCTGGTGGGACTTAAAGAAAGCAGTTGCAGTGCGCAAGCCTAAGAATGTGACTGAACTGGAGGCCTTTGCCCATGAAGAATATGGGCGAAGATACCCGTAGATCGCTGCAAGACACTTGTGTCAAGCTATGCTTCACGTTTAAAAGCTGTTATAACTGTAAAAGGATGCTGTACTAAGTACTAAGATTGAATGTCACTTGGGGGTTGAATAAAACTGATAATGCTGTGAGCACAGAAAAGACATTTGTGGTTATTTCATTAATAACTGTTATGTTATATTTGTCTGACCTACAAGTGCCTCTTTAATGTAAATAAGCAAGATGACTCTGAATGATCAAAAGCAATGTCCAAACTGGCCAAAAACTCAATTTCAGTGGGGGTTGAATAATTTTTGGACACAACTGTACATCCTAAATTGTAATAATAATGAATTCAACAACCTGTATGATCGGGCTGGAAAATAAAATTGAAAAAAGGGAAGGGGATTTGAGTACTTTATGAATGGTGTGTGGTGTGTGTGTGTATGTGTATATATATATATACCAAATATATATATATAATATATATATATTATTGTGTGTATGTATGTATGTGTATATATTATATAAATATATAATATATAATATAATTATATATATATATCTCTATCACTACAATACAAGCACTTGCCTTTAACAAACAAAAAAAAAAATTCCCAGTTACTTGTGGCTATCAGATCTTCATGAAGATCTTTTTCAGTCTTTTTCAGTCATTTCAATGAAACCTCCTCCGTCCCTCCTTCACTGGCTTCTATACAAGTATTCCTGTGGCTGTATGAATGTGACCGTATATAAAACATGATGTTACTCATACAAGGTTATTTTTATCTTGCCGGAGGTGTGTTATGAGGAATGTATGCGTTACGTGCTTACAGCTGTTTTATTTTTTGTCTGCAAGCTTGTGTAGCTGAATGATGGATGGAGAAGTATGGAAATACAGTCTATTCCTTAATTGCTGTTTATAGGATGCTTTTATTTCTTGTCTGGTAAGGGACATAGGAAGCCTTAAACCTTTGGGTTATACTGCCATTCATAGGGGGAATGGACACAGGCAAACAAAAAGCTTGTAGGTCATCCGGGGTATAAGCCCTCCTACTACTAGCATGTGAGTTTTTTTTGTTGCTAATGCCCTAAGTGGCATTAGTAGCTTCTGAGCTATTGGCCACAATGATTTTGATTCTGAGTCACTCAAGTCTTTGACTGATTAGCAGTGCCAATAGGGTACACATGTCCTCTGTACGGGTTGCAGTCCTCTATCACTCTCAATCTAAAGGAAGCTGTTCAATTTTTTACTGATGTGGTACGCACTGCTTTGATGTTAGGGGTCTCCAAACTTGCTAAGCAAAGGGCCAGTCTACTGTCCTTTTGGACTTTAGGGGGCTAGATTGAACAGTGGGAGTGGAAAATGCTCCTGCCTCAGTGGGAGGAGATGCTGTATTAATTGGAGGTGCCAATTAATTTGAGTGCCCCATCGTTGGTTTTAGTGGAGGGAATAGTGCCCCATCATTGGTGTTAGTGGAGAAAATAGTGCCCCATCATTGTTAGTAGAGGGAATAGTGCTCCATCATTGGTGTCAGTGGAGGGAATAGTGCCCCATTGTTGGTGTCAGTTGAGGGAATAGTGCCCATCGTTGGTGTTAGTGGAGGGAATAGTGCCCCATCATTGGTGTTAGTGGAGAGAATAGTGCCCCATTGTTGGTGGCAGTTGAGGGAATAGTGCCCATCGTTGGTGTTAGTGGAAGGAATAGTGCCCTGTCATTGGTGTTAGTAGAAGGAATAGTGCCCCGTCGTTGGTGTTTGTAGAAGGAATAGTGCCCCGTCGTTGGTGTTAGTGGAAGGAATAGTGCCCTGTCATTGGTGTTAGTGGAGGGAATAGTGCCCCGTTGTTGGTGTTAGTGGAGGGAATAGTGCCTCGTCGTTGGTGTTAGTGGAGGGAATAGTGCCCCATCGTTGGTGTCAGTGGAGGGAATAGTGCCCCATCGTTGGTGTAAGTGGAGGGAATAGTGCCCCATCGTTGGTGTCAGTGGAGGGAATAGTGCCCCATCGTTGGTGTCAGTGGAGGGAATAGTGCCCCATCGTTGGTGTGTCAGTGGAGGGAATAGTGCCCCATGTTTTGTGTCAGTGGGAGAAATAGTATATAAAATACACAGCACAAAACCCCGTGTAATATCCCAGAAAAGTAATCCACCTCCACCCTTGAAGGCTAAAAAATAGAAATTATAAAACTTTCCTCTTTTTCTAAAAATCAAAAATCACAATCAAAAAAAAAAAAAAAAAAACAAATGTCCAGAACAAATAAACCCCACAAGTGTAAACAATTGTCCGAAACAATCTTTTTCTTTTTTTCCTGCTTCCAACAACACGTCTCTTTCTCAATATCCGCAAATCCTGATGGTACTATACCTCAAAAAACAAAAACTCAACATAGTGTCATACCTTACAAATAATAAATACACACGTGCCACTCAATGTGCAACATGCAAAAAAAAAAAAAAAAAAAAATTTATATATGTGTTCACTCTGTGTACGAATATCTACACACAAGCAAACATTCCTTTGTGTACCAGAAATATACAAGTGAAAAACACTCACACAACGTGTCTATTACACAAACTGTGAAAAAAAGCAAAATATAACAATGCAGGAGTGTATCACCTCTATATTCATCAGTGAACACCTTTAAACCCAAACCAGCACTCTCCAACTCGTGTACTGATGGATAATTACCCTATAAGAAAAATGACAGGGCATAACACAAATCCGGGTTGACTTCTTGTCATTAGGGTCACATCCAGTCTTAGGGTTTATCTTCCATTTTCCTCATAAGAAAATCAGCCATTACAACAGTGAATCCAAAGATAACATCCTTTATTTATAGCAACTTACATATAAATTTGGATGAAGCAGCTCCTCCTCACAGGAATACAAGTGTAGACAAGTTAGGGAGCACTGGCCACATGTTCCCACTTCCAAGATGGCCGCGATCGCACTTCCGGTCAACGCCGATGCGTCTGACGTCACGTGTCGCTGACGCGTTTCGTCACTTCCTATGACTTTTTCAGAAGACCCTTCACTTGCCTACACTTGTATTTTTTTTTTTTTTTGCATGTTGCACATTGAGTGGCACGTGTGTATTTATTATTTGTAAGGTATGACACTATGTTGAGTTTTTGTTTTTTGAGGTATAGTACCATCAGGATTTGCGGATATTGAGAAAGAGACGTGTTGTTGGAAGAAGGAAAAAAAGAAATAGATTGTTTCGGACAATTGTTTACACTTGTGGGGTTTATTTGTTCTGGACATTTGTTTTGTTTTATTTTTTTGATTGTGATTTTTGATTTTTAGAAAAAGAGGAAAGTTTTATAATTTCTAGAGGGAGAAATAGCATTCCAACATTTATATTAGGAGGAGGAATTGCTCCAGTGTTGGGGTCAGAGGGAGGAGGTGCCGTATTTGTTTGAGGAATAGCGCCCCCATTGTTGGTGTCATTGGAATGAATGGTGCCACATCTTTGGTGTTAGCGCAAGGAAGCGTGCCCCATCTTTGGTGTCAGTGGGAGGAATAGCATTCCATTGTTTTTATATTAGTAGGAGGAATTGCTCCAGTGTTGGTGTCAGTGGGAGGAATAGTACCCCCAGGGCGACAGATAAAGGCAAGCAAAGGGCCGGATCTGGCTTGTGGGCCACAGTTTGCAGACCACTCAGAGGATCAGCTTGTTTCTACCAGTGCGGTTTCTGACTTTGGGTCTTCTAGGCCATCCAAGGCCACAAATACTTTTGCTTTGCACCACATTTGCAGTTTTTTACAGTACAGAGATTTGAAACCTCCTTAGACTGTTTGCTCCTCCTAAGCACTTTCTATTTCTGTATCCAGTTAGTGAGGATTTTGTTCAAAAGTGGTTTGGTCCTACTGTGGATCCGGCCATGTCTTGCCTTAACAAGTCAACTGCCATACAGGTGGAAGATGCCGCTGCCTTTAGGGACCCAGCTGATAAACGTCTGGAGGCCCTTACCTCACACCTGTTTCTGGCTGTAATTTGGCTTTGCCAGGCCATATCTGATTGCCTTAAAAGGGATCCTAACCGCTGCTGCCATTGACCCTTGGATCATTGAGCAGGTGGAATAAATGTCTTTTGGCACTGGAGTTTGCTGGAATTGCCTATGAGAAGCCTCCTAGCTTATTTCTAGTCAGTAGGGCCCTTTTGGCTAAAGTGTTGAACTGCGGAGTTCTTGAAAAAGTGGTTTATCTACATGGCCTTCGATGGACAACATCTCTTCCTACCAGCTCTGGATGCTGCTGAGGGCCACTTATTCCCATTCCCATTTCCAATCCCATTGATCAGATTACCGATGAATGATAATTAGAGCCAACGCATACAGGGGAGATTCTGCTGGAAATTGCCCTAAAATCTTCCACAACTATGTTGGCCACAATTAACAATGCTTTTCTCCTCTGTGGACAACTGCATGCTGATTGCGTGTAACTATGATTGGTTGACTGGATACAGTGGCTGAATGCACAGTTATAGACAATCAGGGATCTTCACAAAGTTAGTGTACAAACTTCAAGATCATTCAGAAAATTAGGAGTAGGCTGGAAATAATTGAAATACAATGTAGAAATAAAATATATGATTTTACATTTTGGACATAGACCTTTAAGTCCCTTTTCCTTTGTACCCCACAGGTCACAGCAAAGACTGCCTTTATATTCATCTTACCTCAGTATAACAGCAGCCTTCAATCTCTGGGTAAGTGAAGCCTTTTCATTATCATTACATTTAGGGATGCACCAATACCAAGTATTTTGCTCCTGATACTGGAACCAATAATTTGTGTTGCTATTTGTATCTATACAAATTGCACCGCAAAGATTAGCATGCGATTTGAACAGGAATGTGATTCCTGTCCAAATCACATGTGATTTCCCCATTGCTCCTGTGTTCACTTCCCTGCAGGCATCCCATGCTGACCGGAGAGTGGGCTGGTGGGAATTTATACTATGGAGGCAGATGCTCCATATTCTAAGCGGTAGAAAAGGAGAGAAAGTGGCAAGGATTGTAATTCCCCCCTCTTTCTCTCCTCCCCTTGCAAGGATGACAGTTCAGGCTAGAGGGCTTTTGATTGGTCAGCATCGTCACATGGATGGTGCTGACCAATCAGATGCCATCTAGCCTATACTGTCATCGCTGCAAGGAGAGGAGAGAAATCCCTGAGTATTTCAAATCCCCAGACCTGTGATTTTGTTTTTCTCTCCTCTCCTGGTAGGGATGACTGTATGGGCTAGATGATATTTGATTGATCAGCAGCGCCCATGTGATGGTGCTGACCAGTCAAAAGCCCTCTAGCCCAAACTGTCATCCCTACAAGGAGGGGACAGAAGGCAACTTCACAGGTCTGGGGATTTCAAATCCCCGCCGCTTTCTCTCCTCTCCTGTCTCTAAGAATATGGAAAATGTTGAAACCCATTTATCATTTTCCTTCCACTTCACAATTATGTGCCACTTTGTGTTGGTCTATCACATAAAATCCCAATAAAATACATTTCCGTTTTTGATTGTAACATGACAAAATGTGCAATATTTCAAGGGGAGGTGAGTACTTTTTCAAGGCACTGTAGTAGCTCAATGAATTCTCAAGGTGCTCATCCGATATTGTGGTTATGATTTTTCCCTTCATGTGCTCCATCCTTGAAAATAGTTGCTCACAAATGTAGGTGCTGCTGAAAATTAATGACAATTATAATTGTGAAGAGTGGTAAATATTTCTTTGGGAGAAAAACTTTTAAAAGTCCAGTAAAAAGACATTGTCTACTTTTTCTTCGGCTACATGTGTTTTCTAAGTGTAAACATAGATTTGCTAAAATAACCTCCCCCCAAAAAAAAATCTAAATTTTTAAGGAAATTTGCAGTTTTGTTTTTGGCTGCATTCATAGTTGTCTTGGGCTGCATGTGGGCCACGGGTTGAACACCCCCACTGTAGAACTTTTGACTAGATCTGATAGAAGTGCTGTGTTCAGAATAGTTTACCACTAGAGAACAGCCTATGAGGGAAAGTTAGGCTAGGTTCACACCTATGCAGTTTGCGTTCTGTTCCTTGCGTGTTTTTTTTCAACTTGTTGCTGGGCAGATTAAAAAGCAAAACGCATCGTATGCATTTCTGCAGCATCTCCATTCAACTTTGTTGAACCAAAAACACAATGTTGTGTTAAAAAAAGTCCCTGACCCTTTCCAAAATACGCACCAGGTGAAAACGCAGAGATGTTAACCTGTCCTATTGAAAATCATGTTAAATGGACTGCTGTGCGTTTCTGCAAACCACAATGAAAAAACGCATAGGTGTGAACCTAGACTTACTAAAACTGGTGCATTCAGAATATGGTGCAGCTGTGCATGGTAGCCAATCGGCTTCTAACTTCAGCTTGTTTAATTAAGCTTTGACAATAAAACCTGAAAGCTGATTGGTTTCTATGCAGAGTTGCACCATGCAGTTTTAGTAAATAACCCCCTATGTGTTCTATCAGCATGGCTCACCTCCAGTGGACTGCCCTGCTCATCTCAAAGCCCTATGTGTTTCACAGTGGCCCTGTATAGTGGCCCTATATTCACATTAGAGAGAATTCACTTCCTGTTCTGTAGACACAACAGGAAGTAAGAGAAAATCTCTGCAGAATAAAGGCAAAGGCTGCTACATGAATAACCCCAGACTTTACCCTTTATTTATGTTGGGTGACAAAGGAAGATTTTAGACGTCTCCCTCCCAGGACACTTAGGGCTGGTTCACACCAGAACACGGTGCAGGAAAGGCATGCTTTGTGCACATTTCCCGAACCGCGTTCCAGGTTGCCAATACATTAACGACATCCCAAAAGCAGTGTGTTAGCGGGCACAACGTTGCATGGTACCCACAGTACCATGCTATTTGGTGCAGCGCGTTTTTCAAAATTAGTGCATGCACTGCTTTTTGTGCAATATCAGTCCATTCAAATGAATGGGTTGAAAATCACCGCAGGGGAACGCTCATTGAACCGGCCCTGAGTTACCGGTCACACTGCTGCGATCTAAAATCACGCAATTTGTGTGCGATTTCAGCGTGATTTCAGGCGCAATCTTTGAAGACGTCATTGCTTCATGTGAAGATTTTCAATGATTTCTTGCAATTTGCTTTGCGATTTCCATTATATTCTATGTATGTGAAATCGGAACAAAACTTCAGAAAAAGTAATGCAAGAACTACTTTAGCAGTCGCGCTGCAGCAAATCGCACATGTTAAGACGCTGACATTCACATTCATTAGATATGATTTCAGGTGTGATTTCAATTCCCCAATCGCATCTGAAATCACTCTGGTGTGACTGGGCACTTAAAGAGGTTGAATCTCCCCAGTGGGAACACGCACAGCAAAAAAAAAACAAAACAAAAGAATCTAACCAATCCCTATCCCATCCAAAATAAAAAAAAAAAAAGTTTGGGATTTCAGTATATATAAAAAAAAAAAAAAAAAAACCCCTCTGTTTTAACAAAATAGGATTGTTCATGCTGAATTCCAGACATTGATTTTGTGGCATAGTTGCATTGGTCCCGTTCTTGAATCTCTAAATGGATTGATGCGAGAGACCTTAAGGTTCAGATTTTCTCTTTAAAAAACAAAACAGAAAACAAACATGTTCTACTTACCTGCTCTGTGCAATTGTTTTGCACAGAGCAGCCCAGATCCTCTTTTCGGGTCCCCTGCCAGCGCTCCAGGCCCATCCCCCCTGCTGAGTGCTCCAAAGCTGCTTTCTGTGACTCAGCCAGCGAGGAGGCAGAGACCTGGGAGAGCTTCTGCTCTTGTGCACATGGCTGGATTGGGCTCAGATGAGTATAATGGGGGGACTGAGGAGGGAGCTGCACACAGAAGTTTTTTTACCTTCATGTATAGAGTGCATGAAGATATTAATCCTTCAGCCTTTGGAAACACTTTGACTGGGCTTTAATATAAAGGGCCAGTTCTAACACTGTACACCCTCCCCTTCCCCCCCGGTCCTAACTGTACTTCCGGCAATACTGACCTGTCGGGTCTCCCACTGGCAGTCCAGCAGTCCTGGGATTTGAAATTCCCGCTCTCTTCTCCCTCATTTCTGTGCAGCACTTCTGGGATGTACCAGATCGATTTGCTGATGACCAATCAGAAATAATAAGCAAACATCACCAATATAAAAATTCTGATCCATAAGGTGCATACAGGATCTGGTCCTTGTTCAGGTACTTCCTGTTGGTGTGACAGCCCTTTGTATATGTATCCCAGTAGCTTTCCTGTGTTGTCACTCTATCACACGGGCATCTGATGGAGGCTGCAGGTGGCTGTTTGCAGTCATGACCCCGTTTTCACCATCAGAAGTGCCACTCAACCACTGAAGTGCATATAGACAGGAAATAGCTTCAAATAGGCTGTAGGAAAACAGCAGTACCAAGATGTAACTGACAGTGAAGAGGACGAGAAAACAAGGATTTTATTTTAGTAAAAGGCCATTTTATACATTGCGCTTTAGCAAAACGAATGTTAGGGATTACATCTATTTGTACCTTACTGCCTGCTCACAGTCCTTTTTGTATATTATTTGTTTTATCACTATATAGGGATAATGTTACAAATTTATTAATGTCTCTCTCCTTTTATTGCAGAGGGTGAGATTGTCTACTATCACTACGGGGCAAAAGACTTGGTCACCATTTTGTTTTACATTATCATAGCAATCATACTACATGCCATTGTACAGGAGTACGTTCTAGATGTAAGTAGCCCCGAGGGAAGGATTCTCTCAGTGTATATGTGCATCTGAGATTTTACATATTCTGTCAGCCAAGTAAAGAAATTATACATGGCTTAAGGCCTCATTCACACACGTGTACCTATCCATACACTCATGTCAAGGACCATCTTTGCCTGCTTGGGATGCGCAGGTATTCCTTGCATACCAGTTAGGTTCATATATTTGGACACGGGCACAATTTTAGATTTTTTCAGGTATTTACCAAAACATATTCAAGTTATAGAATGGATATGGGCTGAAAGAGCACACTCTCAGGTTTAATTTGAGGGTATGTACATCCAAATTGGAGGAAGGGTTTAGGAATTGTACAGGGGATAGCTGCTCTTAAGAGCTGTAATTCCTAAACCCTTCCTCCAATTGGATGGACATATCCTCAAATTAAACCTGAGAGTGTGCACTTTCATCCTATATCCATTATATAACTATAGCTTGAATATGTTTTGGTAAATACCTGAAAAAACTAAAATTGTGCCTGTGTCCAAATATATATGGACCTAACTGTGTGTGTGCAGGAAATCCCATTCAGGTCTATTGGGACCAGTGGCTGATGGTCCTTCACACGAGTGTACAGATAGGCACACCCGTGGGAATGAGGCCTAAGGCTAGTTTCACGCCTATGCAGTTTGCAGTTGATCCGTTTCTGCAGTGCTTTTTGCGGTGCGTTTTGCGGGGTTTTTTGTTTTTTTTTTCCAACCTGTTGCAAGGCAGACTAAAACGCATAAAAAACACACTAAATGCTTTTCTGCAGCATCTCCGTTGAAGTCTGTAGAACCAAAAATGCAAAATTTTGCGTTTAAAGTCCCTGACCCTTTCGAAAAAATGCACCGGGAGAAAATGCAGAAATGTGAACCTGTTCCATATGAAATAATGTTAAATTGACTGCTGTGCATTTCCGGAAAACACAGCGGAAACCGCATAGGTGTGAACCTAGACTAAGGATCCCTTCCTACTGTTCTATGTAGGTCGATGCACCTTGGTAATACTTGTCTGCGTTTAGGTGGACATTCCATATATTTCTGATTTCCAGCACGCTTGGCAACTTCGTAAAGCATACCACCTCACCCTTCCATGCATTACAACACATACATTGTGATGCCAAAACATAAGGAGGTGGTCTGTGGACATGCATTGAGTGCCCATGGCAAAATGGACTTATGAAATTCAACACACAAAAAAACCCACACCTGGAATAGTGTTTTTGGGCTCTGACATTTGCATAATGCGTAGATGCTTCCCCATCTCTACTGTATGTACTCTTTGAAATAAGTATGCCTGGTCCTGGCTTGTGTATATTGGAAAGCCAGTTATTTTTTCTTTTGGCTACAATACTTGCCTCTCTTACACTCCCCCTGCAGTACAGCTTCTCTGCTATCATTCATTTCGAAAGACTGAGAGAATACTGTGAGTACAGAGCATCATAGACCCACCTGCTGAGGAAGCATTGCCATGCACTTACAAAGTAATGATGCAGAAAATGGCGCTAATAAAACAACATTAGCTATGCGCTCTTCTTCAAGGACCGCCCACCACTGGGAGCAGATCTGAAGAGCTGCATGTTATGTGACTTACCTGAAGACGGGCGGACTGACCATTTGGAAACTCTGGCACTGCCCGAGGGCCCAGGGTCAGTAAGGGGCCCCATGAGATGCCCCTGGTACCATTTTCATAGGCTTTTTTGAGTTTGGGCAAGGACACATGGGCCCCATGGTCCTCTATTGCCCGGGGGCCCCATGAGTTGTCAGTCCGCCCCTGCCTGAAGACTGATAAAATGTAAGTATATGAACCAGTTAAGGACATTGGGTGTGTCCAATATGCCTAGGGTCCTTACCATGTCAAAACAGCCTTTTGTAAGCTTGCGTGTATATATATGTGTATATATATATATATATATATATATATATATATATATATTTGTGTGTGTGTATATATACGCTTAGTTATTTAGTAAAAGTGAACTGGGCAGCTTTAGAGCCACTTGATCACTTTTACAGGATTCTCAGGGTGTATTCATTCAATGATGTCCTCTGCACAGTGTGAAACCAGAAGTGCTCAGCTCTGAGCACTTCCAGGATCAAAGCTGTCAGAATCCTGTCCGGAGAGTCATGGGAGGGGGGGTGCGTAGAGTCTCCATAAAGAATATGAGGGAGATTTACAAAACAGAATGTACATAGAAACACAGAATGGTGTACATAGAATCTGGTGCAGCTGCTGCGCAAATTAACCAATCAGTTTATAGGTTTTCTTGTCAAAGCTTAATTGAACAAGCCAAAGTTAGCCGATTGGTTACTATGCACAACTGCACCAGATCCTGTGTGCACCAGTTTTAGCAAATCTCCCTCCAAGTATCACCTGCCCAATGCTATTCTGTAGGGGGTGATCAGCCCCCTTGTTACAGTAACAAATTTAACTGAAAAAAAAAAAGTGATGGGTAACTTTAACCAGTTACATTCCGGAAGATTTTACCCCCTTGATGACCAGGCTGTTTTTTGTTTTTTTTCAGTCATGTTATGCTGTACCTAAACAATATTTTAGATCATTTTCAAAAACGCAAATAGAGCTTTCTTTTGGTGTCATTTGATCACCACTGTGGTTTTTTTTTTTTTTTTTTTTTTGCGCGATATAAACGAAAAAAGATTTTGAGAAAAAAAACTATATTTTTTACTTTCTGCTATAAAACATATCCAATAGAAAATTTTAAAAATCAGATTTCTTCATTAATGTTGGCCAAAATGTATTCTGCTGCATGTCTTTGGTAAATAAGATCCCTATATTGATTGGTTTGTGTGAAAGTTAACAGCGTCTACAAACTATGGTACATATACCGGAATTTTTATTTATTTTTATACTAGTAATGGCAGTGATCAATGACCTATAATGCAACTGCAATAGTGCGGTGGGTAATGTGACATTAACTGATGCTGAGGGGAACTGCCTATCTGTCACTGATAATACTATACACTGTCACGGTACTAATGACACTGGCTGGGAAGGAGGTAACATGTATAGCGATCAAGGGGTTAAATGTGTGCTTAACAATATGTAATGTGTGCTGCTTTTACTAATGGACTTTTATGTTTTTAGCAGAGCAATACAAAGCAGCATGCTTACATAGTAAAACACACACAGCACACAGTTAACTTTTTGATTGCCTCAGATGTTAACCCCTTCCTGCCCAGTGTCATTAGTACAGTGTCAGTGCTTTTTATTAGCACTGATCACTGGATTAGTGTCACTGGGCATGGCAGTGACAGTCAGTTCCCACCCAGTTTCAGAATGCCCGCCTCAGTCCCGCTATAAGTCACTGATTGCTGCTATTACTAGTATTAAATAAAAATTCCAGTATATATACCACCATTTGTAGTGCGCTATAACTTTCACATAAACCAATTATAGAACATGTGTTTGAGAATTTTTTTTAGCAATGTAGCAGAGTACATTTTGTCCAAAATATATCCCAAAATTTTGATTTTTACATTTTTTTTTTTAACTGGATAGGTTTTATAGCAAAAAGTAAAAAATATTGTGGTTTGTTTTTTTTTTTTTTTTTTTTTTCAAAATTGTCAGTCTTTTTTTGTTTATAATGCAAAAATGCACAGGCAATCACATACCACCGAAAGTAAGCTCCATTTGTGGGGGAAAAAAGGACGTAACTTTCATTTGGGTGCAGCGTCGCATGACCGCGCAATTGTCAGTTAAAGTAATGTAGCATCGTTTTGCAAAAAAAAATGGCCTGGTCAGGAAGGGAGGTAAATCCTCTGGAGTGGTTAAAAAATATGGAAGTCACTAGCTCAGTACACAGCAGCATTTTAGGAAGATGATTTGCATTGGGAGAGAAGTCTTGCACAGTCACTCTGAAGCACTACTACTTAGGAAGCAGATCCTGCTTATGTAATGTGCACACTTGGCTGTCCTCATATACAATCAATTTTATTACAAACTATAAATGAACACGTTTGTTAAAACAGTCACAGACTTGGATACGATTATTTCCATTGAGCTGAGCACATTTATATGGGTGTCTATAGAAGGCATGAATTGTATGTACCGGTAAGTGTTTGATAGAGGACGGTTTCTAAACTTTTATTTTTCTCTTTCCAGAAAATAAACAGGCGGCTGCACCTTTCCAAGGTAAAACAAAGCCGTTTTAATGAGTCTGGGCAGCTAGCCGCGTTTCACCTCTCCTCCATGTTTTGGAGTCTGTATGTAGCGGGCACGGTGAGTAGCCTATGAAATTAGCCTACCTTAAGGGCCAGTTCACACCACATGCAGTCCAGTGCGATTTTTTTTTTTTTTTTTTTTTTTTTTCTCTGCATAAAAACACATTGATAGTAGGTTACATAGTTTCCAATGGCATTGTTCACACCAGTGCAGTCAGTTCCAGTGCGTTCTAGAAAAAAAAGTAGAAGATGCTTCATTTTTTTTCTGCACTGAACTGTACTGGAACGCAGTAAAACGCACCAAAAAGGTACATGTTTTTATTTAAGTTGAAGAAAAAGAGGAGGAAAAAATTAACCAGAATGCGTAAAAAATGCACTGAAACGCATCAAAAACACGCGAACAGAAATGCATCCGGACTGGTGTGAACCAGCCCTAAGAGCGTGTTCATTTGGAGGATCCTATGAGACCTATCAAATAAATACCCCTGTAAAATATCAGGGATGGGCGATAAATTGCCAGGTGAGGCGGAAAGCAAGTAGATGCAGACAGCATGCAGGGCTTGTGGGTACATAGGACTGCCAGTTAACCACTTGCCCTCCAGAGGATTTACCCCCCTCCCCCCTTCCTGACCTTGCCATTTTTTTGCGTTACGGTTCTGCGTTACTTTAACTGACAATTTCACAGTCATGCAACGCTGCACCAATATGAAATGTAAGTCCTTTTTTCACACAAATAGAACTTTCTTTCGGTGGTATTTGTTAGCCTGTGCACTTTTTATTTTTTGCGCTATAAAACAAAATACTGACATTTTAGAGAAAAAAAACAATACTTTTGACTTTTTGCTATTTAAACATGTCCAGTGGAAAAAAAAAAAATCTAAATTTGTCATAAATTTAGGGCAAAATGTATTCTGCAAAGTGTCTTTGTTAAAAAAAAAAAATCCCAATACGTGTAAATTAATTGGTTTACATGAAACTTATAGCGTTTACAAATGGCAGTATAGATACTGGAATTTTTTTTTTAATTTTTACTAGTAATGGCAGCGATCAGCGGCTTATTGCGGGACTGTGGCGGGCATTCTGACACTGGGGGGAACTGACTTATTGTCATTGACATCCCCAGTGACACCAATACAGTGATGAGTGCTAATAAAAAGCACTGACACACTACTAATGGCACTGGGCAGGAAGGGGTTAACGGGTGATCAAAGGGTTAACTGTGTGCCATTTTACATTGTGTCCTGTGTGTGTGCTTCACTGTAAGCACACTGCTTTGCATGGCTGTGCTATGCACAGCCATGCAAAGCAGTGTGCAGGAGCTGACAGGGGAGAGAGCTTTATTGTTTATAAACAGTTCTCCCCCCCGTCGGAGATGCTCGGCAATCACCGGGCGCCGGTGAACGGCGGCGCAAATAGGGCGCACCTCGCACCTGTGTCCCCTACCTGGAACTGCAAAATCATGTGTGTGTATATATACGTGATTTTGCTCATCCGTGCTGCCCTGTAGCAGTACTTCTGCTATAGGGCGGACGGGAAGCGGTTAAAGGTATTTAAAAGCATCAGTTACCTAGAATTTTGGTAAGACAGCTTTGCTAACAGTGTGTGTCTCCCCTCCCTTTACCCTCCCTCCTCTGTTAACCTCTTGCTAACGGCGTAAGGCATGTATGTATCTGCAGGAAAAGTGGGTTTTAACTCCCTGCTGCTGCACATATAAATCCATAGCAGCCTGAGATTGTGTGCTGACTGAGCTGTAAATGATAGCTCTTGGACACGACTTCTGCTCAGGAGCCAATGGGATGCGCTTCTGGTCACGTGACCACTATGTGGGCCAATCACAGCAGTCATATGATAGAGAAGATGCGTAAAGAGGATGATAATATAAACGTGATGGGTCTGCTGTGGTCCAGCAGGGCAGACGTGGGCAGGGCTGGCAACATTGCTTTGTGTTTCAATGCAGCAGAGGCAATGTTGTCAGTTCAAACAGGAAGTTAGAAGCTCATTGGAATTTTGGCAGGATCAACACTTTTTTATTTACTTTTTTTTTTTAAAGGATAATACTTAAATCCACTATTTCCCTTGTATATAGGCAGCAAAGGGGAAGGAGAGACCGTAAATGCTACTTTCTGCCTGCGGAAAACATGATCTCCATTCAGACTGCACCTCTCAGCCTAGGCAGTCACATGACTGGGGCTCAGAGATGACCATTTTAATGATGAAAGGTTTAGCTTAGGCTAGGTTCACACCATACAGGTGTAACTGAGCGTGCGCGTTTCTATGTGTCGTTTGTAGGGCAGCCCATCCATTTCAGTGGGCTGCCCTGTGCATGAGAAGCATGGAAAAGAAGTCCCTGACCCTCTTCCAAAAATGTTCCACACTGAACCACACCATGCGGTTTGCCTCACGTGGAAACATACACATTAGCAATTAAGGACACCGTCACCCTTCTGCTATAGGGCAGTACATTTCCATGGGTGTTGAGAAAGCATGCGTTCCCGACATGCAGTAGGTGTAAACCTAGCTTAACCACTTGCCTACCGTGCACTTATACCCCCTTATTTACCAGGCCAATTTTCAGCTTTCAGCGCTGCCGCACTTTGATTGACAATTGCGCGGTCATGCAACATTGTACCCATATGAAATTTTGATCATTATTTTCTCACAAATAGAGCTTTCTTTTGGTGGTATTTAATCGCCACTGGGCGCTTTACTTTTTGCGCTATAAATAAAAAAATTGCAAAAAATTTGAAAAAAAAAAAAAGTTTCTTTGTTTCTATTATAAAATTTTTCAAACAGGTATTTTTTCTCCTTCACTGATGTACGTTGATGAGGCAGCACTGATGGGCACTGATAGGCAGCACTAAAGGGCACTGATAGGCAGTACTAATGAGGTGGCACGGATTGGCGGCACTGATAGACAGCACTAATGAGGTGTCACGGATAGGCGGCACTAATATGCAGCACTGATAAGCGGCACTGATAGGTGACACTGATGATGGGTACTGATAGACGGCACTGACTGGCATCACTGCTGGGCACTGACTGGCGGCACTGACTGGCACAACCCCTGGGCACTGACTGGTGGCACTGACTGGCAGCACTGCTGGGCTACACTGGTGGGTGGCACTGCTGGGCAGCACTGGTGGGTGGCACTGGTGGGCAGCACTGGTGGGTGGCACTGCTGGGCACAGGTGGGTGGGCACAGGTGGGTGGCACTGCTGGGCACAGGTGGGTGGGCACAGGTGGGTGGCACTGCTGGGCACAGGTAGGTGGCACTTCTGGGCACAGGTGTGTGACACTGCAGAGTGGCACAGGTGGGTGCACTGCTGGGCACAGGTGGGTGATCTGCTGGGCACAGGTGGGCGGAGCTAGTGGGCGCACTGCTGGGCACAGGTGGGCGGAACTTGCGGGTGGCACTGCTGGGCACCGATCATCAGGGCACTGATCATCAGTGCCCTGATGATCGGTGCCGATCCCCACTCTGACAACTGCCGGTTCTTGGCAGTACTTTCCTCACGATCTGACAGCGTGAGGAAAGTGCAGCCGAGAACCGGCACTTGCATTTCCCTCTGATCAGCGTGTCATTGGACACCGCTGATCACGTGGTAAAAGGCCGCTGTGATCGGCCTTTTACCACATCACGTGATCAGCTGTGTCCGTAGGACACAGCGATCACGGAGATCGCCGGGTGCGCGCCCCCTGGGGCGCGCAGGAGAGCGCGTTCTGGGGGGACGTCATATGACGTCCACTCAGAACTGGCCGGCCGCAGTTTAGCCGTCATTCGGCTATCTACGGTCGGCAACTAGTTAACAGATGATATTGTTGCTGTTTATTATGTCATGTCAGAATTTAGTCTAGCAGGTTTGTAAAGTTTCTTATAGCTCCACTTCCATAGCACTTTAAAAATTGAGACTTTATTTCCTTTTGCAGGAAGGCTATTTATCCAATCCAAAGACACTATGGGAGAGTTACCCCCACGTCTACTTACCGTAAGTGATTGCATTGAAATATCCATCTTCTCCATTTTCTTGATTTGCTTTGTGTCTGCGCAAAATTAGGAAAGGAGAGTTAGTCTGCTCAAGAACTGACTGGTTTTGTGGAATTTTTACCAAAGATTGTTTGAATATTTCTTAACAAAATAATTTTGTGTGTAAAAACAGGCCTTTTTGTTTTTTTTTTTTTTAGCAAAATAAAAAAGGAAAGCCTGTAAAACACATTAAGAAGAACCAAGAGCTCCATCTCTTGGGTAGAGATGAAAATACAGAATATTAACCACTTCCAGTCCGGACACTTTTACCTCCTTCCTGTCCAGGCCAATTTTCAGCTTTCAGCGCTATCACACTTTGAATGACAATTGCGCGGTCATGCAACACTGTACCCATATGAATTTTTTAGCATTTTTTTGAGACAGATAAAGCTTTATTTTGGTGGTATTTATTCACCGCTGGGATTTTTATTTTTTTTTGCTATGTAAATTAAAAAGTCCAAAAATATTGAAAAGTGTTTTTCTTATAAAATTTTGCAAATAGTATTTCATCATAAATCTTGGCCAAAATTTATTCTGTTTATATATATATATATATATATATATATATATATATATATATATAAAAAAATAACCCTAATTAGTTTATAACCAAAAATTATAATTTTTAAACATTTTTTTACATTTTGTTTTATTTTTTTATAATATATTTTTTTTTTTTTTTACATACTGTCACCCTAGCAGTACAGTGTCACCATGGTGACACTGTACTACTTGTGGGGGGTAATGAAGATTTTTGTTTATTTTTTACACTGATTGCTTTTACACCCATAAAGGGTGTAAAAGCAATAATTTCTCCTTCTCTCTAGCTGCATTCTTGCAGCCTGTCTTGGAAATTCGCTTTGAACGAATTTTTCCTTACCGTGAGTACTCGATTTTTATTACAAACACACACACGCCCCCCACATGAGTCAGGTCAATCCCCTCCCACAGAACAATGCATGGGGAGTGCCTATACACAGGATGTACATTCCGATTGGAGCGTAGCCTTTCCTATTATCGATCACCAGTCCTCCCCTCCCTCCATGAGCTCTTTGAGGGAAGCAACCTTCCCCCTTTACACCAGTCCTCCCCTCCCCCCCATGAACTCTCTGAGGGAAGCAAACTCCCCCTCCTATTAGCTCCTAGTGGTATGTAAATTCTCTGTACAAGCATCCCCTAGATTAAACAGTGCCAGTCTGTATCTGAATGGGCCCGATACGATCTTTATTAAAACACATCCATCCAGATACAGTTTTAGGTTGGTAATGGCTTGTAAGATATACATGAGCCTACACACAGAGTTCGCACTGCTTGGCGCCTTGCGGTACGAAGTCCATGTGGTACTATGCTGCTGATATGTGGATACAGGCCCACGGCCTACCGCCGGCGGCATTCGCATCGAATGCCGTGGTGGTATACACGCCGGTCTATAAGCGCAGATCTGCCATCTCATCCATTACCGAGCTGAGTACTGTAATACATACATTGTACATGCGCATGGCCCAATTGCAGCCTTCAGAGCTTTAATTAAGCCACACGAGAGACATATGAATAACACTAATATATGACACATTTAAAGTTCAACCTGTAAATACAAAATTTCCATGACAAGCCATTGAGAACTACTGAGTGAACTGTGATTGGTCACAGCTTGTCACATGGTACAAGGCTGTTGTGAATAGCCTTGTACCATGTGACCTCTGTGATCATTCACAGATTTCACACGTAGTAAGCAATGATGTCACAAGTGACATCTTGCTTACTACTCTGCATTGGCCAATCAGCGATCACATGATCGGGACGTCGTACAGAGGTCCTGTCCGACGATCGGTGTTCCACTGTGTCCGGAGGACACAACGGGCACCGGATCGCGGTGCTGCGCGCTCCCAGGGAGCGAGCACAAGCAGTGTGCGGGGAGGCCGTTTATAAACGGCCACCCGACCCTGCAGTGCCACCGTCCGGCTGTTTATATACAACGGCCGGACGGGAGGTGGTTAAGTTGCAATTTTTTACTTTACTGAAAATATAAATTCTATAAAGGAAACTAGAGGCAAAACTGTAAAATATTTTATTATCTACATCTTATACTGTGGACCACACCTGTATGAGCTTGTTGGACATCTCATTCTGAAACCATGGGCATTAATGTGGAGCAGGCAGACATTTGTGGCTGTAACAGCACCAGCTCTTCTGAGGCTTTCCACAGGATTTTTCGTGTGTGTTGGAATTTGTGCCCATCATCCAAAAGAGGATTTGTGAGGTCAGGTTTTGATGTTGGATGAGAAGACCTAGCTCACAATCGGAATTCCAATTCAACCCATAGGTGTTCGGTAGAGTTGAGGTCCAAGCTCTCTGCAGATCACTTGGGGTTCCTACACACCAAATTGGTCAAACCATGTCTTTATGGAGCTGGCTTTGTGCACAGGTACACAGCCATGCTGGAAGAGAAAAGGGTCTTCACCAAACTGTTACCACAAGGGGGGACTCCACCGTTGTCTAAAATGTCTTTGTGTGATGTATCATCACCAGTACCCTTCACTGGAAATGCACAGTATCGATAACTTTTAGGGGTGTCAATGTCGTTTTGGCCATGTAGTGTACATTTTATTTCTGCTGTGCTATTTTATTCAAATATTCAGTCATATTGCAGCACATAGTTCCATCCTCTCTTGTCCTTTTGTTCTTTATGTTTGACTGATGGTCAAGAGCACTGGTTAAAGCTTGTAGGAGTTTTCTTTCTGTTCTAGGAGGCTGTAGGACCCTTGACCTCTGTCTGGAGAGTGCTGATTGGCCCTGTGCTGATCACATGCACTCTCCCAAGGCAAAAAAAAAAAAACCTCTCTAGCAATACATACTAAACTGAGCATGTGCAGAATGGCTATGGTTCAGTCTGTCTTATATAAGATGTGAACAAGAGGAGGGGCAGAGAAGTTAGGATCAAACTGCCTTTTAATCCCTTAGGTTCCACAGTGAGTATAACCAGCATACTTTACTGCATATACAGACTGATTTTACTGTTGTGGGTTTAGTAACAGTTTAAGTTTAGGCTTTTCTTCCACTTTAACTATTACTAAACCCACAACAGTAAAATCAGTCTGTATATGCAGTAAAGCATGCTTCTTATACTCACTGTGGAACCTAAGGGGGTAATCCTCTGCATTGTGTAAAAAGGCTGTTTGATTCTCTCTTCTCTGATCATCCCCTTCCAAGTCCTCAATCCATCTGCTGATAGAACAGAGCCTTGGGGGCAAACTACACATGCTCAGTTTGGTGCGTATTGCTAGAGTTTTTTTTTTCCTTGGGAAAGTGCATGTGATCAGCACAGGGCCAATCAGCTCTGTCCAGACAGAGGGTCAGGGGTTAAGCAGCCTCATAGGACAATCGGGAGAATGAAAACTCCTACAAGATTAACCAGTGCTCGGCCAGACACCGATAGAAGTCATAAGTCTGCTATATACTAATGATGAGAAAATGTATTTAGCAGTTTATATTTACTAAAATAATTGCATTTCCCTGTAGTGTGTACTGTGGGAGACCAGATATAGTGAATGCAGGGTCCGGGAGAGACCAGATATAGTGAATGCAGGGTCCGGGAGAGACCAGATATAGTGAATGCAGGGTCCCGGGAGAGACCAGATATAGTGAATGCAGGGTCCTGGGAGACCAGATATAGTGAATGCAGGGTCCTGGGAGACCAGATATAGTGAATGCAGGGTCCGGGAGAGACCAGATATAGTGAATGCAGGGTCCGGGAGAGACCAGATATAGTGAATGCAGGGTCCGGGAGAGACTAGATATAGTGAATGCAGGGTCCGGGGAGACCAGATATAGTGAATGCAGGGTCCGGGAGAGACCAGATATAGTGAATGCAGGGTCCTGGGAGACCAGATATAGTGAATGCAGGGTCCTGGGAGACCAGATATAGTGAATGCAGGGTCCTGGGAGACCAGATATAGTGAATGCAGGGTCCTGGGAGACCAGATATAGTGAATGCAGGGTCCTGGGAGACCAGATATAGTGAATGCAGGGTCCTGGGAGACCAGATATAGTGAATGCAGGGTCCTGGGAGACCAGATATAGTGAATGCAGGGTCCTGGGAGACCAGATATAGTGAATGCAGGGTCCGGGGAGACCAGATATAGTGAATGCAGGGTCCGGGGAGGACAGATATAGTGAATGCAGGGTCCGGGGAGACCAGATATAGTGAATGCAGGGTCCGGGGAGGACAGATATAGTGAATGCAGGGTCCGGGAGAGACCAGATATAGTGAATGCAGGGTTCGGGGTTTAGTAACACTTTTCTGGTCCTTTATTGTTATGCAGGAAGCGATGTGCCATCTGTTTTAACAGAGTTGTGATTTTCATTTCTTTTCATTATAGTTTTCAAGTGAAATTCTTCTACCTGTGTCAGCTGGCATACTGGCTCCATTCTCTTCCAGAGTTATACTTCCAGAAAGTGAAGAAAGTAAGTTCAGATATAAAGGGGTCAAATCACTAAACGCCCCGTTCACATTTGAGTGTTTTTGTAGCTGGTAGCTTTAAGCTCAAAAACGCTCAACAAGCAAAAGCCTATTTTTTTTTTCAATAGCCCTTGTTCACATCTGAACCTTCTTGTCACTTGTAGCAAAATGCCTGTTGCTCAAAAAAGTACATGAGCTACCTTCCAGGCAGAAATGAGCGGTTTTGTCCCCATAAACTTCAATAGAAATGCCTGAAAAGCACGACATGAGCGTTTTTTAGAGTGTTTTTTTTGTTATTTTCGTTGCTATTTATCACCTGGAGGTAGACAGTCGGTTTTTTAGCACATTTGTGTGTCCTTTTAGAGCCCATTCACACTTGTGCGACTTGTCATGCAACTTACAAGTCACACTCCATGTTTTCCCTATGAGTACATTCATATCTGTGCGACCTCAAGCCTCAGCGACATGAAAGTTGCACGGGTGTGAATGCAACCTTAGTAAATTGACTTTATTGATTTTTCCCATTTTTTTTTTTTTAATGCATTAACATTTGGGGAATTGACCCCTAGTCACTGTGTTGTCTTAACTACTCTGTAAGTCATACAAAGTTGTAGAATTCATGACTAATAAATATATTTTATAGATGTAGTGTAGTGTGAGCACAAAGTGTTTTCTGATTGGGCCAGGGGGAGAGGTGGAGCAGTGACATCACAGTCTCCACCTTGTGCAATCTGAGAGCACTTTGCATTAATTGAGAAAATGTAGTGTATTGTCTGAATGGCACCCATACCAAGAAAGTGACCCCCCCCCATGTTCATTAAGCAGCAGGGCAGCTGCTGGGGTAGCGGTGCCAAATACAATGATGTCCAGCTGCCATGTGGATCCCACAGATATAGCACATACATACTTAAAGTGGAACTTCACTCTCTCAGTCAACATTTTTTATCCTTTCGACCAGTCGACAAGTTTTTATCCTTTTTTAGTAAATGGATAGGAAAGTATATCATTTTAAAAAAAAAATTTTTTTCTTTTCATTTCTTCAGTTACTTCCTAGTTTCCATGCCTAGGCAAATTATGTCATACATCCCAGGAGCCTTCAGGAGGGGAGGGTTGGTTCTCAGCTCAGCCAATGCCTGAGCTAAGCAAAGGGCAGATGGATTCCAGGACTAATTGCTACATGAATCATCTGCCCTTATTCAAGATGGCCACTGCCAGAAATGCCAGGGGGTGTTTTGTTTTTTTTTTGTTTTCAAAATGATTTCTGAATGGGGGAGTTTGCTTTGAATATTAACAATGAATTAAATTAGCATTTTTAGTTTGTGGTGCTCAAATGCAGTGCAGTTCCACTTTAAGTTGGTCCAAGCTGCAGCAATATGACTATGTAAAAATGACCATACCTGGTATTTATATTTAAAGGGTTAGATCACCTTTAGCAAAAAAAACTGCCTATGCAGATAAGGGGTGTCTGTAGAGAAAAACCAAACTGGGCAACTCTGACTAAAGTTGAATAATGTCCTTTCTATTAGTGGTGCATCGAAATGAAAATTCAGGTGCCAAAACCGAAAATTCAGAATGCCCTTTGCCGAAAACCAAAACCAAAATGGACAGTTTTTAAAAATGTATTTTGCAAACGCAGTTTTTTTTAAAAAAAATACTTCAGTGAATAAAAGAAAAAAGCGAACATAATATATACCACATTTTTTTTTAAAATATAAAAGATGATGCTATGCCATGTAAATAGATGCCCAACATGTCATGCTTTAAAATTGCGCACGCTCGTTTAATTGCGCTAAACTACGGTACTTAAAAATCTCCATGAGTGACGCTTTCTACAGGTTACCCATTTAAAGTTGCAGAGGAGGGTCTAGTGCTAGAATTATTGCTCTCACTCTCTTGTTCATGGCAATACCTCACATGTGTGGTTTGAACACCGTTTACATATGTGGGCATGGCCTATATATGCTTTCACCACTGTGTGGGGGGACGGGGGCACTTTAAAAAAAAAAAAAAAAAACTTTTTTTAATTATATTTTATTACTTTTTTTTTTTTTTTTTTACACTGTCCCTTTTAATTTTTTATTTTTTATCACTTTTATTCCCATCACAAGGAATGCAAACATCCCTTAGATAGAAATAAGCAGTGACAGGACAGGTCCCCTTTATTCAGAGATCTTGGGTCAATAAAATCCCACATCTCTCCTCTACAATGTAAAGCATTACATTTAAAAAAAAAAAAAAAAAAAAAGCATTGATCTAGTGCTTTTTTTTTTTTTTTTTTTTTTCTTGAAAAAGGTCTTATTTACATGGCTTCGGAACTGGAAGTGACGTAATGACGTCGCTCTGGTCCTCCAAGGGCATAGAGATGAATAGAGGCGATCTCTCCTTCACTGATCTCTATGCCCAGTCGCCAGGGTCGTTGGAATGGGTTCTCAGGTAAGCATGAGAACCACTGGCTGGTGGGGGGGCCGGGGCCATTTTCAGGACCTGTATCGGTGCCTATTTTCATATCGGCCTTTTATTCTCAGCCGAAACATTTCTGCCGCTGAAATGTCGGTGCATCCCTACTTGCTATAGGTGTCGGCGATTTAGGTACCTCATGACTGGAATACTGCCAGGATGTTGCTAAGTTAGACCTAGTCATGCTTGCCACCTTCACCATCACAGGAGGGAGCTCTCATGCTGAGCTCAGAGCTACTACAACAGGAGAGAGAGAGCATGTGAGGGGGTCTGAATCAGAGAAAAAGCTCACTCCTGTGAGGGTGGGGGTGAGAAGTAATGACTAGGCCTCACTTAGCAACATTCTGGGATTATTCCAGCCAGGCTTCATGAGCTACGTAAATGGCCTACATCTATAGCAAGGGCATTATTCAACTTTAGTCAGAGACAGTTTGTTTCTATCCACAGACGCCCCTTACCCGCATAGGCAGTTCTTTGGTGAAAGTGAACTATTGCTTTAAGAGTGGAAATGTGTTTAGGTAGATAAATTAGGTATAGAGTTATAGTGTATAAAAGTTATACGTAAACAAACTTATACTGACAGTGTGAACTGCTTCTGTGCCGCCCCTATAGCAGAAACAATGCCTAAGGGAGTGTGTGTGTGTGTGTGTGTGTGTGTGTGTGTGTGTGTGTGTGTGTGTGTGTGTGTGTGTGTGTGTGTGTGTGTGTCATTGTGTGCACACCTGTGTGTGTGTTGTTGTGGTGTGTGTGTGTGTGCTATGTGTGCGTGTGTGTGTGAAGGAGTTGTGTATACATTTTGCACATACATGATTTTTGCCAGTTCCTTAGGGTGTTTCTGCTATAGGGCGCACACAGAAGGATAACTTTTATACATACATACATGATTTTGCAGTTCCGGGTAGGGGGGCTTGCGCACCACCCTACCCACGCCACTATTGCTTTCAATCACCAGGTCCCTGCTGGTGATTCCCCATAAACCAATTAATTTACACATATTGGGATTTTTTTTTTTTTGTAGCAAAGTCGTGTAGCAAAATACATTTTGACCTAACTAAAATTAGTTTTTTTTTTAATTTTTTACTGGACATGTTAAATAGCAAAATGTCAAAAATATAGTTTTGTTTTTTTTTTTCTCCAAAATTGTTTTTTTTTAATGCAAAAAATTAAAAACGCGGAGGCAATCAAATACCACCGAAAGAAACCTCTATTTGTGGGAAAAAAAAGACATACATTTCATTTGGGTACAGCGTTGCATGACTGCGCAATTGTCAGTGAAAGTAACGCTGTGCCATAACGCAAGAAATGACCTGGTCAGGAAGGGGGGGGGGGGGGGTAAATCCTCAGGAGGGCAAGTGGTTAAATGGCAGTCCTATGTACCCTCAAGCCCTGCATGCTGTCTCCATCTACTTGCTTTCCGCCTCACCTGGCACTTTATTCCATCCCTGACATTTTATAGGGGTATTTATTTGATAGGTCTCATAGGATCCTCCAAATGAACACGCTCTTGGGGTTGGTTCACACCACAGGAACGCAGTCCGGATGAATTTCTGTTTGCGTGTTTTTGATGCGTTTTGGTCCATTTTTTATGCGTTCTGGTTAATTTTTTCCTCTTTTTTTTTTTTTCTTCAACTTAAATAAGAACACGCGCGTTCTTGTTGAATTTTTACTGCGTTCCAGTACAGTTCAATTCAGAAAAAATGCAGCATCTTCTTGGTCAGGAAGGGGGGGGGGGGGGTATATCTTCTGGAGGGCAAGTGGTCATCTGGGTTTCAGTGACCTCTATGCACCAAAGTGTTATTTCTACACTGATGTAGAGCTTGAGCTATGTGTGTATGTAGACGTCCAGCACAGCTGAGGGTGTTCATTGTGAACCCGATACAAGGTCACGGTGACTCGTCTGTATCCAGTATCTGGAAGTCTAATGTCAGTGCTGGTCTCTGCCTCCTGTGGTTGGATGTTGGCCATAATTACAGTGTGTCAGACTGGAAGAGGATGTTGTACTTCACAATATTCCTGCGTCTGGGTTTTCAGAATATGTACTTTTGTTTCTGTGCTGTACATGACACAACACACACCATTCCGATGTGTCGGTGTCTAGCTGGAGTTGTCCTCTTGCATTCCATATAACAGTGCAAGCCCACAGAGGTTTTTTTTTTCTTCTTCACAAAGCCATGTAGAACAATAAGGACCCGTTTTTCCATTTTTTGTGCTGCATTAACATTTATGTCATGCGTTCACATACATTCCTTTAAAGTAACAAAAGAAAAATCTGGTATAGGCGCAAGTCTAGTGATCTTGTTGCTACCGTCCTATGCGATGGGCAATAGATCAGGAATAATCCTGTCAAGCAATAGTAAATATCCAGCTAAAAGAGTAAACAAAATATGGCATGTTGATCATATTATTATGCCGATACTTGATGGGTGAAATAGTCCTTGCAATAAAACAGTCCATCCACTAATGGCAGCCTCTGCGGTGAACTTGAAGCAGCATCTGGAGTACAGAAGAGAAGAAGGGAGAGGGGCGCCTCTAAATGTAGACCTTAATGATAGAAACATTTATTGTAAAGGACATTTGGCAACTCGCATAGGGTTAGGATTAACCACTAGCCTACAGGGCACTTTTACCCCCTTCCTGCCCAGGCCAATTTTCAGCTTTCAGCGCTGTCGTACTTTAACAATTGCCTGGTCATGCAACACTGCACCCATAATATGAAATTTTTATCATTTTTTTTCACACAAATAGAGCTTTCTTTTGGTAGTATTTACTTGCCCCTGGGTGTTTTTATTTTTTGTGCTATAATTTAAAAAAAAAAAGTTTTTCTTTGTTTCTGTTATAAAATTTTGCAAACAGGTAATTTTTCTCCTTCACTGATGTGCGTTGATGACTGACTGCACTGATGGGGCGGCACTACTAGACAGATGGGCACTTGTGGGTGGCACTGGTGGGCACTGATCATCAGGGCACTGATGATCGGTGCTGATCCGTCCTCTTACAATTGCTGGTTCTCTGGAGTAAATTCCTCACACTGTGACAGCATTTACCGGTGATCTTCTGTGTCATTGGACATGGCTAATCACATGGTAAAAGCCTGCTGTAATTGGCCTTTTACCACATTACGTGATCAGCTGTGTCCGTAGGACACAGCAATCACGGAGATCGCTGGATGCGTGCAGGAGAACTGTCCGGCCACAGTAAAGCCGTCATTCAGCTATCTGCGGTCGGCAAGTGGTTAAAATGCACATCAATTTCCGTCCCAATACAGGTATCTGCGGTGTATCGCCAGTCACCCTGCCATGTCACAAAGCTATTCCCTCCAGTTGTGGTTTCAGGAAGCTAGCTGTTGGTGGAAAAAGATCCCAGACCGAGGGCTGAAACGCTTGTGGAGCGCAGTGTATGGCGGGATGACGTCTCCGGTTCTGCGACACGTGCCTTCGTGGTAGCACAAGAGACATGGCTGCAGGTTCTGTCTCAGAGCAAACTGAAATGCTATTTCATTCATTTTCAATATTCAAAGCAATATTCAAAGCAAACTCCCCAGTCCATCCATGTCTCCATGCTTTATTTTGTTGAGAAATCACTTTTAAAAATACCCCCCCCCCCCTAGCATTTCCTGCTGCAGCTATCTAGAGTAAGGGCAGATGATCCATGTAGCATTTACTTCCTAGAATCCATCTATCTATAGCTCAGACAGTTGAGTGTGCTTGGCTGAGATAACCCCCTCCTCCACATGAAGGAAAAAAATGACACTGGTTGGGAAGAGGTTAACATCTAGGGTGATCAAAGGGTTAAGTGTGTGCCTAGCTATGTACTTGGTGCACACTAGGTGGTGCTTTTACAATGGGAAGTGATGGATCGTGTTTTTCAGCACTGCAGAGATGCACGATTCATCACTCCCTGCATCACAACAGATCTGTGTCTATGTAAGCATAGATACAGCTCTGTTCTTCCTCCCTGACCGACGATATGCAGGTGTATATGCATAGGCGTTTGTAGATTGGTTTGTGTGGTGACATTTCACAGCAGAAGTGAGCCTCCGGTGGCACGTTCTCCACCCCCCTCCCGTGTAACGGAAGTGCAAAATCGTGTATGTGTGTGTGTGTGTGTGTATATATATATATATATATATATATATATATATATATATATATATATATATATATATATATATATATATATATATATATGTGTGAGTTTGCACAGAAATGCTGCCCTGTAGCAGTAAAACTGCTATAGGGTGGATGTTAAGTGGTTAAGGGTTGAAATGTATTCCATAACATGGAAGTAGCTATGATCCACCTGTATTGTAGATTTGCCATATACTGTAATAATAAAGATGGCAATAAAATAAATGTGTTCTGTTTATTTTTTTTCTTTTATCCAGGAAGAAATCCCTCGCCAGTTGCAGTACATCATTTTATATCTACTCCATATAGGAGGGGCTTATTTACTAAAGTAAGTGAAGTTCGAGTCCAAGACCTCAATGTTTTCAACACAGAACCTCTTACATTGCACAGGACCGTCCTATTAGTCTATATATAGACCTTATATATTAACCATTTGTCTACCCAGGTACATTTATAAATGGCATGGTGGTCAAGCGCTAACCTTGGCGTTTACCAGCTGGCGAAGGGTTTTCCGATAGAAGTGATCACTTTTATGCTGCTCTAGAGCCAGACGATCACTTTTATAGGGCTCTAAAGCCACCCACCCAATCACTTTGCTGAGGCTTTTATCCGTTCCCCAATCCTCCCTGCAACTAATGGCCCCAGAAGTGATCACTTCCAGGGTCAAAGCGGTCTTACCTTGGCTATTGTAGCCAAGGGTTCAGCTAAACAAGCATGATCTGTGCTTGATCAGCTGCATTGGAGGGCAGGGGAGGCATTGGGGGTCTAATAGACTCCCAGTGTCTCCATAAGAAGGACCTGTCACCTGCCCAGTGCTGTTAAATACGGGGCTTCTTTTCCCCTTGTAATAAAAATAAAGTTAACTCCTTGGCGCTGATGGTACACATATATGCGGCCTCTCGGCGGCTGGGCCTTGACGCCGAGAGGCCACGTATTTGTGTATCCAATGTAAACAACCATGTGCCAAGAGCGTGCGCCCTTCGGGAGCTTTCCGATCATGTGACCACTGTGACAGCCAATCATGCCAGTCACATGACCTTAAAGCCTGCCCTGCCTCCCGGCATCACAAACCCCTTAAAGGGCTGGGAAGCACCAGTGCCAAAGAGTTAAAATATATATTCTATATTATATTATATTATATATACAGTGAAGGTACTGTGTGTGTATATGTGTGTGTGTGTGTGTGTATGTATATATCTTTGTGAGTGGGCAAACATTCAAAATCAGCAGGGGATCAAATACTTTATTTCCTTCACTGTAATATATATATATATATATATATATATATATGTGTGTGTGTATATATATATATATATATATATATATATATATATATATATATTACAGTGAAGGAAATAAGTATTTGATCCCCTGCTGATTTTGAATGTTTGCCCACTCACAAAGAAATGATCAGTCTAAAAATCGAATGGTAGGTGTATTGTAACACTGAGAGACAGAATAGCAACAAAAAATTCAAAAGAAATGCATGTCTAACAAATTATGCACTGATTTGCATGTTCATGAGGGAAATAGGTATTTGATCCCCTATCATTCAACAGGATTTCTGGCTACCAGGTGTCTTTCATACAGGTAACAAGCTGAGATTAGAAGCAGTCTCTTAAAGGGAGTGCTGCTTATCTCATTTTGTTACTTGTATGAAAGGCACTTGTCCACAGGAGCAATCAAACAATCAGATTCCAAACTCTCGACCATGGAAAAGACCAAAGAGCTGTCCAAGGATGTCAGGGACAAGATTGTAGACCTACACAAGGCTGGACTGGGCTACCACGCTATCACCAAGCAGCTTGGTGAGATGGTGACAACAGTTGGTGCAATCATTTGCAAATGGAAGAAACACAAATCAACTGTCAGTCTCCCTAGGTCTGGTGCACCATGCAAGATCTCACCTCGTGGAGTGTCAAGGATCATGAGAACAGTGAGGAATCATCCCAGAACTACATGTGAGGATCTTGTCAATGATCTCCAGGCAGCTGGGACCACAGTCACCAAGAAAACAATTGGTAACACACTACGCCGACAAGGATTGAAATCCTGCAGTGCCTGCAAGGTCCCTCTGCTCAATAAAGCACATGTCCAGGCCTGTCTGAAGTCTGCCACTGAACATCTGAATGATGCAGAGGAGGACTGGTTGAAAGTGTTGTGGTCGGATGAGACCAAAAATCGAGCTCTTTGCCATCAACTCCACTTGCCATGTTTGGAGGAGGAGGAATGCTGCCTATGACCCCAAGAACACCATCCCATCAACCCATGCTGGTGGAAAACATTATGCTTTGGGGGAGTTTTTCTGCTAAGGGGACAGGACAACTGCACTGCATCAATGGGACGACGGACGGGACAATATACTGTCAAATCTTGGGTGAGAACCTTCTTCCCTCAGCCAGGGCATTGAAAATGGGTTGTGGATGGGTGTTCCAGCACGTCAATGACCCAAAACACATGGCCAAGGCAACAAAGGAGTGGCTCAAGAAGAAGCACATTAAGGTCCTGGAGTGGCCTATCCAGTCTCCAGACCTTAATCTGATTTGAAAATCTGTAGAGGGAGCTGAAAGTTCAAGTTGCCAAACGTCAGCCACCAAACCTTAATGACTTGGAGAGGATCTGCCAAGAGGAGTGGGCCAAAATCCCTCCTGAGATGTGTGCAAACCTGGTGGCCAACTACAGGAAACGTCTGATCTCTGTGATTGCCAACAAGGGATTTGCCATCAAGTACTAAGTCATGTTTTGTGAAGGGGATCAAATACTTATTTCCCTCATGAACATGCAAATCAGTGCATAATATGTTAGACATGCATTTCTTTTGAATTTTCTGTTGCTATTCTGTCTCTGAGTGTTACAATACACCTACCGTTCAATTTTTAGACTGATCATTTCTTTGTGAGTGGGCAAACATTCAAATCAGTAGGGGATCAAACACTTATTTCCTTCACTGTGTGTGTGTGTGTTGCAGCCTGATACTACAGTTGTTTAAATTAACGCCATAATGACAAAGCAAAAACAGAATTTTAGAAATGTTTGCAAATGTATTAAAAAGAAAAAAACTGAACTTTTACAACAATACTTGAAATTTAGCTCAGGTGCCTCCTATTTCTCTTGATCATTGAGATGTTTCTACACCTTGATTGGAGCCCACCTGTGGTAAATTAAATTGATTGGACATGATTTGGAAAGGCACACTCCTCTCTAGGCCGCACAGCTGACAATGCATACTGTATCAGAGCAAAAGCCATGAGGCCAGAGGAGCTTCCTGCAGAGCTCAGAGACAGGATTATTGCAAGACACTGATCTGAATCCACCCTCTGATCTAATGCATTGGCAAGGATGAGACCTATTCGTTTTTACCCTAGGGGCAAGAGTTGACGTATGATTGCTGTTGTGTGCTGCAATACTGTGAGCCTGGGCTGGTGAAATGATGCACCCCCAAAGAGCATGTCCAGGACAACCAGAGCTCACAGCAACTGGGCTGAATGCTGGGCATCATTCAACCCAGAAGAGGAATGAACATTCTGTGTGGAAAAGCTCCAAAAATGTATTTTTATTAAGTGGGGTTGGGTTCTAAGCTATCAGCAAAGGGCATACACCCCTGAATCCTGGCACTTGGTCACAACACTCAGATATATGGGATTTCTATTGAATCCCCTGGCAACATTTCACTGGAGAAGAGACTCTGGTCTGGTGGGATCATGGTCCTTAGAAGTTCAGGTGTAACCCTAAGATACTGGGGATAACCTGACCAGATCAAATTGGCCCCTTGTGTCCTATGCCTGAAGGCAGCAAAGCTTGTACTACATACGTTCACACCGGCCTATTATACTATCCTTGTTTTTAAAGTCTAATCTTTGATTTATCATCTTTTTTCCGCAGTTTGACCCGCTTGGGGGTGATATTGCTGCTATTGCAGTCTGTATCAGAATTTCTCTTCCATATTGCAAGACTCTTTTACTTCACTGATGAAAGTAATCAGAAGCTGTAAGTAATGGTAAAATTCTTTGGGTGTTGGTGAGCAAGGAGGTAATATGGGCAGGGTTTGATGAGTGGTCCCCTCCAGATACGCTTAGTAGAAATTGCATAGATATGAGACACTTGTCAGATGGCATGTACGCATGATTCATTAATGTGGAACTCTTCATAAAAATGGGCACAGTTAGGGGCTTAGGGTTTAGAACCTCTGTACAGTGTTTATTGCTATTTATGTCTCTGGTGGAGACATTCTGGCCACTTTCTGTCCTAGTGGCCACACAGGGAAAAAAAGCTGAAATCTCCCTAGCAGGGACATAGACCACAGTAAATACTGACATTGACCCTTACCTACTGGAGGCAAACTTTTAAGAAAAAAGTTTAAAACCAGTGTCCTGCTTTAACCCCTAGACGCAGAGCACACACAAATATGCGGCCTCTTGGCGGTTGGGCCTCGAAGCCGAGCGGCCGCATATTTACGCACCATTTGAAAATACATATGTGCTGAGAGCTCGCACCCTGTGCGCTCCCATTACATATGTCCGTGACTCACAGAAAGGTCCCGATCTCCCCTTGCGATCAGGACCTTTTCCGGTCACGTGACAGCGACTCAACCCCAAATCCCCGACTTCTGAAACCTCTTAAAGGGCCAGGTGGCGCCGGCACAAAGGGGTTAAAGTTGTTGTAAACCTTAAATGTTTACTTGCCTCAATCCAAAGCACCTAGTGTGATTTCTGTCTGCTGTCTCCTTCCTCTGCTATCTTCATGAGTCACTTCTGACAGGTAATGCTGATTCCAAGGGATCCAGGGGATAGGGGAGGGGAGCTCCAGCCCACAGTAGGTGATTGACAGCCTTAGCTGTGCATGTTTCCCTACCAGACTGTGTAGAGGGGGTGTTTCCATTCCCTCTACACAAGTCTCAGATTACACTCAGCTCCCTGCTCTGTGCTGTTCAGTGTGTGACAACAGATACCTGCCCCCTCCTTCTGACGATGAGAAATGCTGTGTAAACTGTACGCTTTGAGGCTTCAGTTACACACAAGTGTCACGTTTTCAAGCGTTTTTTTTGGGGAGCTGATTTGCACATTTTTGCAACTTTTTTCAGACGTTTTTCAGTTAAAAGGCATTGATTGCCGTTTGCTAAAAGCAACAGGATGCTCATAAGTAATCAAGGGCTGTTGAAATTAAAGTGGTTCTAAAAGCACAAGGTTTTATACCTTCATGTATTCTATGCATGAAGGTAAAAAAACCAGTGTTTAGGGGCCCCCCTGAGCCCCCACAATCCTTACCTGATCCCCCTCCGATACAACAACAGCCTCTGCTGTCTGTGGACTCTTTCTCCTCATTGGCTGAGATGGCAATGGGAACCCATTGGCGCCTGCTGCTGTCAATCACAGCAAGTGAGCCAATGAGGAGAGAGCTGGGGCATGGGACCAAGCTGCAGCTCTGTGTCTTATGGACACCTAGAGCAGAGACTTGGGAACGAGTACACAGTGGTGCCCCCAGGGCGAGTGGCATTTCCTGGGGGCACTGCTTGAGGAGGAGAAACCAGGAGAGACGGTGAGGACCTAAGAAGAGGATCAGAGTTGCTCTGTGTAAAATCACTTCACAGAGCAGGTAAGAATAGGTTTCTGCTTGTTGAGCATTTTTGAGCTACAAGCTACCAGCTACAAAATGGTCAAGTGTGAATGGGGCCTGAATGGCTGTAGATAAGAGCTGGCTGCAGAGAAACAAGTACAACTTGTGTAGAAGGTTTAGTGTTTCTGTGTATCACCTGTGGTTAGACACTTCACTGGATATATGTAAGGGTTTACAACCACTTTTGGTAAATTCAATAATGCTGTATTCTTTCAAAATCTTGAAATAGAAATGTAAAAAATGCTGCATTTTTGTTATTTAAAATTGTATTCTAAGAGCAGCACAATAAATGCTGTTGGTGTTTTTATGCTTTAGATTTAATGCCTGGGCAGTGGTATTCGTGGTCTCAAGGCTGTTTACACTCACCCTTTCCGTTCTGACCATTGGGTTTGGCCTAGCCAGGGCGGAGATCCACACCTTTAACCCAGACAAGGGAAATTTTAACACGTTACTTTTTAGGTAAGCTGGATCTTTTCATTCTTTTTAGTCTTGTACAGACTTCATGCTTTGTCTCTATGACGGTGTAAGGCTGCCTATAATGTCTCCTTGCCTCTGCAGGATGATTGTACTGCCTCATGATGTGCATTTCGCAGACGTGATGATGATGTGGCGATTCATTCATTTCCAGCTACGTCGTTGGCGGGAGTCTTGTAAGGAGCAGGCTGCCAAGAAGAGGACTGCCATTGCTCCTGTCATACCCAAACAACAACTAAAGGTGCTCAAAAAGGAGTCAGGTATGAGAAATGGCAGCACACTTGTCTAGATAAATGACTATTTGAGGCTTCATCCAGACAGGCATTGACACCCGTTCTGCATCCAAGACGCGTTTGTTATTGCAGCTGCATGTGCCTCTATACGTTTTGATGCAGACACAAAGGCTGTACAGAAACAGCCACATGTCAAAATTTGACATGCATGCATGGATCCAAACAGTCACTGTGTGTTCAGATTCATGCACCCACATCTGGGCCCTGGTCATATTTCACATGCAGCTGCATACAGCTGTGCCTGTGCAACCTGCTGCAACTGCATTCACTTCTATAGACTGCATGTGTGCAACTCAAGGCAGATGCAGGTACAATAACTGGTGTCAATGTGCATCTAAATGATGTCTAAGAGTTCTCGCATCATTAAAGTGATGTTAAAGGCAGATTTTTGTTTTTTTTTTAAATAACAAACATGTTACATTTACCTGCTCTGTCGGTGGTTTTGCATAGAGCAGTCCCGATCCTCCTCATCTTGGGTCCCCTGGTGGTGCTCCAGACCTCTCCCTCCTGCTAGGTGCTCCCTTAGCATGCAGCTTGCTATGCGGGCCCTTAAGCAGGCTTGTTCCTGAGCTGCTATTCTGTGTGTCCATTCACACATGGAGCACGGCTTGGCCCCATCCCCTGCTCTTTCCTCATTTGCTCACAGGCTCTGATTGACTGTAGCAGGAGCCAATAGCTCCTTCTGCTGTCTCGCCATTGAGGAGGAAGAGACCTAGGAGAGCCGCTGTTCTCATGCACATCGCTGGATTGAGATGGGGTCAGGTAAGATGGGGGGGCTGCTGCGCACAAAAGGTTTTTTACCTTTATGCATACAATGCATAAAGGTGAAAAACTTTGAGCCTTTACAACCACTTTTAAAACCTATCTAAACCCAAGCACAAAAATGGCTGGCTTACCAGTACTTGTGGTGGCTGCCTTAATTTTCACTTTTCAGGCTTAATTGCCGTTGTTTTCACCTGGCGATTCTGCCAGTAACACACTTAACTGCGCTGGTATGACAACACTCACCCATCCTTTCTTTATCAGAACAGCAGAACCCAGACAGAACTACTAAACATCACCTGTCTCCTATTCTTCATAATGGAAAAAGGTGTAGTTCTGTAGTCCTCAGAGTTTGCTTAGAGCACAGGAAGTCATCAGCTGACATGACTTCTGAAAGGATCAAAAGGTATTTTTTTCTAAATTGTCAAACAGATCTACCAAAACTCGATAAATGGTAATAAATAAGAGAAATTCATTGTTGGGGTTTGCGTCCCTTTAAAGTTGCAGTTTGGTTAAAGTGGAAATTCAGAGCATGGAATTACACCATATTGCCAAAAGCTTGTGCACAACTGACCACATCATCTTTATGAGCTTGTTGGATGTTCCATTCTATAATTATGGGCATTAATTTGAAGTTGGTCCTGTTTGTGGCTATAACAGTCTACATTCTTCTTGGAAGGCTTTCCATAAGATTTGTGGAGCATGTCTGTTGGTGTTTGTGCACATTCAAACAAAAGTGCATTTGTGAAGGCAGGTACTGCTGATGGATGAGACCTATCTCGCAGCTGGCATTCCATTTCATCCTAATGGTGTTCAGTAGGGTTGAGGTCAGCACTGTGTGAAGGCTGGTTGAGTTCCTTCACACCAAACTCATCAAACCATCTCTTTTATAGAGCTGGCTTTGGTGAAGGCTCTTTTCCCTTCCAGCATGGCTGTTCCCTTGTGCACACATTCCCACAGGGTTGGACGCACACAGTTTTACCCCTCATCGAAAACATAATTTGGTGGGATCTTGCATACGTTAAGCCATTTAGAGCAGGAGTGATGGCCATGTGTCTACAAATTGTTGCTCATATTGTGTACATCCTTAGACACATCACCACGCTTTTCTAATTCATCCTGGAGTATACAAGTCCATGCTGCAGTAATTAATTCTCTGGCAGCCAGTAACCTGGTGTTCTGGACTCACCTAATCCTGACCTTTCAACTACAGGCCAGGGATTCCTAACTCAGCCATCAAAGTCGCTTTCCAGTTTTGTTTCTTATCCATGCAGAGCAGCAGTTTCCTATTTATGCTCCCCACCAGCATATTCTTTTTCTAGTAGGATCCTAGAGCTAAGGAGCAAAGGAAAGGTGAAGATGTGTTGCTGGGGAGGGGGCACATACAAAGCGTTGTGGCTTTGACCTAAGGTTTATATGGCAATAATAACTCAAAGGACATAATATGAAATATGGTATACTTTCCTTTCTAAACATCTCCAACCTATAACGAATATATTACTGTATTTTTTTTTCTTTATTTCCAATATATTCTGTGTTTTTTCCAGGATATCACGAAAATGGACTGCTTAAAGCAGAGAATGGTTCCACACCTCGACAGAAAAAAATCAAAGCTCCGTAAACGCCAAAACTCTACAGCAGAGCCTGGAAATACCCGAACGACCACCAGGACTAAGCGTGTACTCCAGACTTCTGCCAATGCTACAGCCCTTTGTGGGCCAACAAAAAAAAGTGCCTTCAAGAATCCTCATTAGATACTTTTTGTTACATATTTAAAATGAAAACAAAAATTTTACAAAGTGCCGAACATGGCTTCTGCCAGAAGCTGGTACAGTCAAGCCTCGGATCGTGGACATTTGATTACTTTCTTCAGTATTCCTGTTTTATGTGGTTTAGTTTGTTACTCGGTGAAATGCTTCCAAATTTTGACTACACTGTTACCACAGAATGCCTTTGACTTGCCCGCTCAAAGCACTACCTCCTCCCCAGCTGTACCGCATGAGCTGGGCTACTGCCGCACCTCCAAATTACCTTTTTGGATGGCCAAATGCCGCTGTTTTTTCTCCAGTGTAATGAGGATTCAAACTTTGCATCTTCTGGCTTTGGAGTAATGGTTGAAAACATAATGGGATGAAGAATTGAGTACAGAAATTTCCTGGCTTATGGGGCATTTTCTGATCTCCCAGCAAAAAAAAACATTCTTCTTGCTAAGCAGTTCACAGAGAAATGGAAAGAAACTTTTTGTTTTTCAGGCGTTCTAAAGATATTGGGTTTGATGACCCTCCTTTTTTATAAAAGTTTCCAGGATTATTCACCGCCAAGGTTCAATGCACCAGGATTGTCCAACCCGCCAATCTCTACTTGTTTTGGACAGCTGTGGCAAGACTCAAATAAGTAACTGCTGTGTAGGGGGACCCAACCTACCTCCTCCCCACCAATTGCCTCAAACCTTGCTGGACTACAGCAAAATGTATCATTGCTTAGGAACCAGCAAGCTTTATATTCAAAATACTAGCAAAAATTTAGCTATTTTCCACAAAATGTTTGCTGGTTCCTGGATACAGGCTTAATACATTGTGTGACATTAGTCAGGAACCCAAATAGGGTCCCACAATCTTTTCTGTTCCCAAGATTGTTAGAAACATCAGTCACCCATTAGTGTTTCAGTAGTTGCCAAATCCATACCAATAGGAAGTTAAAGCTGAACTCTTTATTGCATGCTTACATAGGCTCAGTTTGGACCTCTGTAAGTATGCATATCTCATACCACCTGAGGGGGGGGGGGGGGGCACACTGGGGAAGCTGACAATGTAGTAGTCAGAACTACTACATTGATAGTCATGATCTTCCTGACTCTGCTCACGTTCTATGCAAGCAGCTTCCCCTCTGAACACTAACCACAGAGGATCGCTCGCTTGGCCCTGCCACCATTTACAGAACATTGTGTATATTTTTTTTTTGTAATGAATACAAGGCATTCCCTGTTGGACCAGAAAGGGCGTTGATGTTGCAATCTCCAACCAGATAACACCTTACAAGCATTTTGTGAATGGCGGTAGTGCCAAGTGAGCAGCCCCCTGTGCCCAGTGTGCAGAGAAGAAGCCATTTGGCACAGGAACCCAAAGAACTGGGATCTGTCCATGGTTCTGAAGACCTTCAACAAACCCAACCAGAACAAAATAATCATTTTGAGGGGTTTATCCCTAAAAAAACTTGGATGAAAACGCCTGTGACCAAAAAGTAATTGGAAGTCCAAATGATGGCTACTACAAGGGTGGAGAATGGACGAATAATGTGCCTTTTTGTCCTGTCAAGGAAATATGTGTTTGTGTTTGGCTGGCTTTGCTTTGGTCTTCCCTGGATAGTTTTCTGCTTTTGTGCTTCCTACATCTCTGCTTTTTGGTAGAGGCTTCTAACTTAAGGAGGATGGCTTGGAACCTGGAAATCCATCTGCCTTGGCTTCTTCATCTACTAGTATTCTGGATGCTAGCAAAAAAGGCTACCTAACTTTTCTGCTTTCCTAAAGGATTCAGGACCTATGTGTCAAGATTTCCGTGGAGCTATCTTCTTCGGCACCATTCTCTACAATGAAAGAATAACATAAGCCCGTATTATATTTGTAGGAAATCTACACCTCTTTCTGTTCAGAGATCTAGTATGGTGCCTCCAGGTCTCTATCAGGTACATGTGTGCACAGTTTTTAAATCTGTTTCTTCGTGTGGTGCCTCACCCTCCCCTGGATGCCAAGGAGCTCAGAACCATTTTAATCGAATGAAACTTGCTTCCTGCAAAGGCCGTTCTAGACCTCAGGAAGCTACATTGCGAAATTGTTTTTCGAGTCATGCAGTCTTGTTGCTAATATATGCTATGATTAAGTACACATGATGGATCGCTATTATGTGCAGAGTTCTTCACCTGGAAAAACTCTTCAAAATGAGTTCCAATTGGGAGAGTGTTCATTTACTGTAGTCATGTGCTCTATCCCAATACTGTACATGGTGTCACTGTCAATAGCATGCTCTGACAGATTTATCTGGCAGTACTTTACATTTTTACCACAACAAACCTAGCCCCATAATGAAGTTATGCAAAGGTTATTTAGTAAACATGGTTCATTCAGTTTAAGTTCTCATCCAAGAAGTTGCTGGAGGTGGCGTGGATGGTGTGGCCATCTATCAGACAGGCTGCATGTAGTTTGACCTCCACAAAATAACATACCCACATTACAGAAAGCACCAGGAGTTTCCCTCTCCTATCTTTCCAGTGCTGCTCATCTTCCTACTGTACCTTAAAAACCTACAGAAATAATGGCTTTCTTAAAGCTGACTCCAGGAATGATCTTTATTGCATACGTACATTGGTCCAGCTAAGGCCAGTGTAAAGCCACCCATAGGTTATGCCATTTTCTTTCCTTTCACAATGGATGGAAGAAAGGAAAAGTCCCTCGATTCCCCCATCAACACGCTCTTTTGTGGGGAAATCACTACCCGCAGTGCTATCGTGTTCTACTGGCAGGGGAGCCTTCCCAGCTGGCAAAACACAATGATTACTACTAGCTATAGCCAGCAGCAGTAATTGCTTGTGAAAAATCTGACAGGCTTGTTGTACCTAAGCCGATTGGATGGATCAATTTGGGTACAACCAGCCTGCCAATGGTTTGCTCGAATCTCGGCTGAACCAGCTGAGATTCGATCTTTCTTTGGTCAGCTTTAGTATGCACATCTCATATCTGATGGCCTCTGGAAAAGCTGACACTAACTGCAGTACTTGATGCTTCTACAGTGATGGCCACTATCTCCAGGGTTCTGTGCGTGGTTTCCCTTCCAAACATTGACCACAGGGAGTCGGTCCCTCGTCACTGCTGCCTATCACAGAACGTCTTGTATTTTTTTTCAATGAATACCAGGTGTTCTCTGATTGGACGAGGTGGAGATCCAATCAAAGAACATTTGGTGTTCATTAAAACAAAAAAAAAAACTTTTTATGAATGTGCCAGAGCAAAGGGAGCAACCCCTGTGGTCAATGTATAGAGCAGAGCACAAGTCTCAGAAGACAGCAGCTATCACTGTACTAGGGCCAGCTACTACATTGTCAGCTACCACTGTGGATTCTCAAGTATGAGTTATATGCATCCTTGCATTATGCAAAGCTGAACCAATGTAAAGTGGCCCATAGATTATTTATTTGATTTTCTTTTGTTCCACCCAACACAATTAGTGATGATGGGGAATCTTTCCTGCAGTGCATTGCATTCTGCCGGCAGGGATCATTCCCACCCAGCAGAACACAATGATTACTGCTGGTGGATATCACATGTAAAAACAAAATTAGACAGACTGGTTGTACCCAAGTCAGTTGATGGTTCGACTTCGGTACAACCATAGATGGATTGAATCTCGGCCAGTCCCCACTGAACCAGCTGAGATTCGATCCATCTATGACCGGCTTTGGAATGCAAAAAGAGCGTACCTAGATACACACATACAGAACAATGCTTGTGGATTGGCATTGTAATGAGGGGAAGGTATGTGTTTGCCCCACGTATCTTGAATTTGGTTTTCATCCTCAGGAAGCCCTACCAGACAGTTTGGGGAAAGACAGAGCAGGCCCTTATGGTGCTGGAAGTACTGTAGATTTTCAGTACTTTGCTGGCTCTGTTTAAACCCTGACATAGATGGATCCGGCTTACTTCCCTCTTCACCTCTGTTGCTAAGTTGTTAGAAAAATTGTTTCTTCTATTACCCCAGCAGCCTCTCCAGGATTGGTCCATTTCTCATCCCTCTTTTGATCCTGCCAGCAATGTTTGACAGATGTCGGTGAACTGCAGAGTTTGTCAATGACGGCATGCCACAGGATGGTCTATAAGACATTTGGGAAGTTCTTGCTTTTAGTTTAGTTTACACTTGTGGTTGGGGGTGATGAGAATAGGTGGTTAAGCCGTGTTTTCCGTGCCCTCCCCCAACTTCCCCTTTGTTATACTTCAAAGACAGCCGGACAAGGGTGTACACAAGTTGTGGCATGGCAAAAATGATCCCCCTGTTGCCTTTGATGGGCAGTGCTGCCTCCAATCGGACATATTCAAGTGAATGGGGCTGCAACTGTGAGCCAAATGCTAAATCTGCGGTTGCTGCAGAATATTCCTATTCAAAAAGCCTGTAAAAAAAAAAAAAAAAAAAAAAACAGGCATTCTGAAGGTGGTAGTATTGTCTTTTAAATTCCTGCCAGCTATGCCTGCCAAGCCTGAGCCACATTGTTACTGCTCCTCTTTGCAGTCATGGCAGGAATTTTACCGCCTGTCCCATTCGGCAGATGCTTCAAGTGAATGGGGCCGCTCTGTATTGCATGCGTTTGCAGCACACTAGTGTGGGGTTCAAGGGGTTAAAGCAGATCTTAATTTAGAGACCAAAAGCAAGTGTGAACGAGCCATTAAAGAATTACCTTTTCAAAGCTATAGAAATGCAAAACCCACTTGAAGCAGTTCAAATGCCTGTCGATGAATTCCAATTGGTCGCAAAAACATCTCAAACTGATGTCATTGGCTAACAAGGCATTCTGAAAGCTTTAGACAACGCTTTGAAAAAGCCTTTTAAATGCGTCAAAATTTGCTGCAATACTGTATGT